ATTTTTAAATATTCACCAATATGCTTTGAACTCTTTGAATATTAAAATAAATATAAAAGAACATAATATTAAATCAATAATTATAATCAGGGTTAAGAATTATATATATTTGAATATTTATCTTTATAGCTCATATTACAAATTTTCCAATAAAAATATAATACATTTCAGTATATTTATAGTTTTCCTAAAATATTTTAATTAATTTTTTCTTATATTTTCAGTTATTTAACATATAGTTAACGTAAATTTATAAAAAATTAAATGAATAAACATCTTAGCTGCCTAATATACTCCATATTTAATTATCTGCTATATGATAAACTTACATTTCATTACATGAATTTATTTTTAAAATCTTTTAAAGAAATTGAACATACGTAAAAAATTATTATTCATACTTTAATGGTTTAAATTAGAACGAAAATATTTATGTTTTCATCATTAATAACGACCATTATATAGAACATATTTAATTATAAAAAATAGGTATTATACCAGTAATATTTTAAAGTAGGTACCTAATGTGATTTAAATTTGTAATTTATATGTCTATACCAGTGTATCTCAATCTTTGTATTATTAGACATAGTATTAAAATATTTAATTTTAATTGATAATGTAAAATAAAAAAATAAAAATACATTTAATAAACGCATAAATTATTTTTAGTCATTATTATATATCAAATACCAATAACTTTTTATAAATTGTATCAAAAATGTTTGTATATTTTACGTCATATTTTATGCTGGACTTACTTGACGATACACTGGTCTATAGCAATGAGTAAAAATAAATCAACTATACGTACTGTATATTTCCTGAGATCTTTTTATAACTTTGAAAAATAATTATTTTATGATTTTATAATAAATGCACTTTTAGTTGTATTGATTAATACCGAGAAAAATTTTCTTTTAGTTTAAATATTTTTAAAATTTTAGAGAATTTGAATATATTTTTTCATAAGCTAATACAATGTTGGCTGTAACTTTATAAGCGTTAATTGGATAAGACAAAGATACTAATAAAGACCGTATTTAGGATAATAAATAATAATTGTTATTTCCAATATTATTACGACTGCAATTCCGCAATTCGTCTATCGCAACCGTAACTCAGACACTTCACGTTTTTCTTAAATATTTCAAATACAGGCATTTTTGAACTAAAAAAGGTTAGGTGACGTGTATACGTGTATAAGCAATTCAATCATTATTTTTAATTACACATTATCATGCGCTATACCTAACCTCTTAATTACTTCAAAAAATAGTATAATAATTATAATTATTTAGAACATAAAATATTGGATTTATTTAATCTATTCAACAAGATTTTCTATCAACCAACTTATAAAATAACATCACAAATATTATAACCGATGGTCTATAGTAGAGGTCCTGCTACGTAGCCCGCGGGATACGGCTCTTTAACAAATTTTGTGCGGTTCGCACTAAAATTAAATTGTACAATATTTTAAACTTATTTTGTAATTTTAATTATTATTATTATTATTATAATTATTATGTATACGATAAAATGATAAAATTATATCGAGCACCACGGCGGTCGTCATTACCGCACATATTTATTATATTGTTAAAAAGGTAAATTTGAAAGGTTGATAGTTCAAAACCGCACTAATTTGATTGACAGTTAAAAATTAAGCATATTTTATTATAAAAAAAAATAATTTAGTATAAATTAATAATAATTTTATATATAATTAAATTGAAATAAATTTACGCCCTAATGTTTTTAAATAATCAATTAAATTTATTTCCTTGGTCATGAAACGATTATATAACTTTAAAATATATTTTTCTTTTTCTCAAAATACTTTACGTGTACGATTTACGTTGTCATTTCGTATGAGTCTAAATTTGGTTTCAGATTTTGTGATCTTGATTAAATATAGTGTGCGGTACTGAATGATAAAGTTATTTTAGATAAATGTATATGCTATTAAAATATATTGATGTTTGCGGTATTAAACGGTTTAATTTGAGGAAAATATGCGAGATTAAGATATAAAAGTGTGTAGTTTGGTTCTAGGTCACTTTGTACGGTCAGGCATTAAAAGTGCGAAACGCGGACACTTTTTACGGTCGGGTAAAAAGGTACTTTGCAGAACGCGGACACTTATTACTATTATATACATAAAGTGTATATTATAAATAATATAAGTTTTATACATAAGTAGTAACTAATAATTATGTATAGTGTTAATTATTAAAATAGAAAAAATAAAAATAAAATTTTTATAAAATATTGATTGTATAATAATAATAATAATAATCTAAATAAACAAATAATCAATAATATCATTCAAACTACCTGTAAAATTGTGTACAATATAAATATCAAAAAAAACAAAAAAAAAATGTCAAAAAGTAGTATAATATATAAAATAAATAGTATTTAGATGTTATGATTTTTAGATTATTAGCAAATAAAAAATATTATAATCTATATTAAATATGAATGTCAAATGACAATATAAATATTAATATTTGACATATTTCCATATTATACTGTTTTTATTTTTATTAGCTAATATTCTAAAAATTTGTAATAGTAATAACTATTACAGCTAAATATTATTTTTATATTATACTATCTTTTGACATAATATTTATATTGTCATTTGACATTCATATTTAATATAGATTATAATATTTTTTATTAGTTAATAATCTAAAAATCATAACATCTAAATACTATTTATATATTATACTACTTTTTTTTATTTTTTTGATATTTATATTGTACACAATTTAACATGTAGTTTGAATGATATTATTGATTATTTGTTTATTTAGATTATTATTATTTTAATAATAAAAAAAAGTTGTTTTATAACAACTTTATTTTTATTTTTTCTATTTTAATAATTAACACTATACATAATTATTAGTTACTACTTATACATAAAACTTATATTTATAATATACACTTTATGTATATAAAAGTACAAAGTTTCCGCGTTTTGCAATGTACTTTTTACCAGACCGTACAGTGTCCGCGTTCTGCATTTTATACAATGGACAGTACTAAGTGACCGTTTACCGTGCAGTTTTGAACAACCTTTTTTTAAAAGTGTGCGGTTATGAACGACGCCCGAGCACTGCTGTCGCTTTTTATCTTATCTTATTATTTTTATTTATTATCATTAAACATGTATGAGGCCTGCAAGTCGTTTTCAAAAATTACATTTGACCCTTTCTGAAATCCTAGCGAGGACCAGCGATTTACAATAATCTCTAGTGCTTTGTTCTCTAGCGTATAAATGTGGTAAACGATATTTTATAAACTATTCAGTTAGCGTGAAAGGCATTCACATTCAAATATTTACAGTATATATTTCAAACAACAAGTCAAAAAATAAAATTAAAATAACAATTAAGTCAATTATAAACTGTGCACGTGTAATTTAATACGTACACAACACAAAAAATATATTGAGTAAAATATAAAAATAATTTTAAACAATAAAAAATTATCAAACACTTTGAGACAAATGCCCTCGTATAAATTATATGGAGATATAAATAGTCTTCATGAAGGCTAAAAAGAAGTAATAGATTGGATGTCTAATATTAATATCCGTGTTTGCCTTTAAATATAATTTTTCTATATTGTCATTATTTTTATTTATTTTAGTTTGATTTTTAATTTTTTTTTTTTTTTTTTTTAATTTAATTTAATTTAATAATTAATGATTCTATTTTACACTAATATTTAAACTATCGAAATAATAAAAAAAAAACTACTTATTTCAACTCAAAAATATTACTTATTAGATGAATATGCTAGACCAGCGTTTCTTAAACTTTTTTATCCATGGAACCGTTTTTGATATCCTTTTTTATCGTGGAACCCATGTACTTTTGGTTCCGTGGAATACAGTTTAAGAAACGCTGTGCAAGACTACAATATAACGTGTTATAAGACGTACTTTATATCATTAAATTTTTATACTATTGCTATAACACTTAAAACTAAATTTTTAATACATATTTAAATTATGAAATAGTAATTTTACCAAAATTTAGACAATATTTATATGATGAATTATAGTCTAAATACCTAATAATTGATTTAGTGTATGATTTTATTATTATTTGTAAAGATCTACTTACGAACAAAGCATTTTCATCAGTAACATTTTATTTAGTATTTTACAATAAATGGTATATAAATAAATTATTTTATTAATTTTTGTTTAGGTTTTTAGTAAACATCTTTGATGATTAACATTAGAAAAACATCAAATATTCTTTCAAGATTAATACTATAGATAATTACATAATGTATTAAGCTTAAAAATCCCACAAAAAAATCATTTCGGACCATTAATATATATTAGTAGTATATAATTTAAATTCCACTAAAGAAGAGTTTTAATTACAATTTTATTAATACAATATTTGATACGGAAGGGAATTTAGGCTTTTAAATACTTACAACTCTCAATTTTAAAATTAAAACAATTATTTGTATATAACTTTTAATATATTTATACCTAACTGATTAAGTATATTAAATACTACGATAAAATTTAAATGTTGATTCAAAAATTGATTTTCATAAATTCAATATTAGAAACTATTTGAGCGATTCCGTAGACAGGAATTTTATATGAAGGAAGGGCCCTTCCCTTCCAAGGGGGTTATTATAATAATAACATAATATTATTAATAAAAAAAAAAATAATACATTATTTATATTTTTATTAAGTAAAAATTTCACTGCTAGCACCTCTAACATCGGTAACTTAGGTAAAATAATTTTTTATGACGCGGTTTTTTGTTTTTTCGTTAGAATGCATTTTATTTTCCATTTTTTTTTATTCACCTTTTAAACGAGTTCAAAGAATTAACACAAGTTTTCGTTGAAGTTTTCACGTAGTCAAATGATATTTTGTTAATAGTTTTAAAGGTAAAATTGATTTAGTTCAGTGATTATGCGACATAATTTAATTAATTATCACCATGGGCCATGATTGGTATAACAGTTTAAAATATACTATAATAAATACATTTTAAGTCGCACTCTAATCAGTTGTTACCGTTACATAACAATTACTGTGATGATGATTTATAAGCGCGACTTTGGACGGTACACGAAATACCTTACTTATAAGTTATAAGTTATCACAGATATCTATTACTATTATTAATAAAAATTTAAAAATATATAAAATATATTAGTATTTAAATGTTTAAAATACATTTGCATACTTTCCACGTTTGTAAAGGGGGTGTGAACCCCCCCCCCCCCCGTATCAACGGCTCTGTTTTAGAGTTTGGTCTATTAATAAACTTAGTTTTAACTTAAATGTATCATAATAATTTTAAAACTAAAAATTAACAATTTTATTATTTTAGAGATTGAGTAATTATGGATTCTACGAAGCCACCACCGTTAATTAAAAAAATTCGAAGATCGTTTAAAATTGAAAAACAATATAGTTCTTTGAAGGAAAAATATACCACAAGATTATATCAATTAGTATATGATGCCGATATGCAATTTACAAATAATGGAAAAGATTTTGTTTTAGGTATTTATAGTATTAATAAAAAATTTAATTAACAATTAATAATTACAGAAAATGTGTTAATAATATCATTTTAGGGTATGGAGGTTTTGAAGACAGAGTTATACTACTTGGAACAGGTTATTTTTTACAAAAATTATGTTCTGCGAACGCAGTGTTTTTGAGCGGTTTCGAAATAAATTTAGAATCCAAATTATTCAGGCATTTTTATACTATCCATTGCTTTGTAGAAGAAAAAATAATAACAACGGTAAATATAATTTATTCAAATACTAATTTGCTTTTTAACTATGTTAAATAACTAAAAGATAATTTTAATTTGTAGGCATATGCACTGTTATATAATAATAGTAAGGAAGCATACTCGAAAATGTTAAAAATGATTAAAAATTCTGTTAAAAGAAAAAGATTGGATTTTAAACCTAGTACCTTTTACATTGATGTGGATATAAACCTCATGTCTTCTATTGAAGAAATATTTGGGAAGGAAGTAACCATTAAATTATCTTTATACGACTATGCAAATTCTGTATGGTTTAAAGTTAAAAGCTTAGGGCTAGCACAAAGTGATGATAGAAATGTAGAAAAAGCAATACGTCGTATGTGTTGTCTTGCTATTATCCCTGTTGATCAAATTGAAGACGCCTGGATTAAAATTAAAGAAGAAGCCCCACAGAACGAAAGTAATAAAAACAATTTTATAATTAATTTAACTAATATTTTATTAATATATTTAATTAAAATTTAGATTTATTGGAACTCATAAGCTATATTAATGAAGCATTTATGATTTCAAAAGACGGTCATAAGTTTGATAAAAATACATGGAATCACTACGACACAGACAATATAAAAATGATAAACCATCTAGAGGGATGGAGCGATTTTATTGACGAAGACAATAAAAAAACGGATCTGAGCGTTAAAAATTTCATTATTAAATTGAAAAAAAAACAAGGAGACTTCGAAAAAGAAATTTTTGTGAATCAAAAAAAATCTAATGAAATTTCAAAGATTCCAAAAAAATACAAGGCCTTAGAAGAAAAATTTAAACATGCAAAAGAAAGGTAATTAATAATTAAACATTTTATAACAAATTTAATTGTTTTTAATAATCTTTAAATTATACTCGTAGGCTTGAAAATGGGAAAATTTCTGTAATAGAATACCTGGATGAAATAATTTAAAATTTCCTGTTCATTGAAAACAGAAGCAGTCCAAAAGGCGGTTTGGCAATTAGTTTTATAAATACATTCATGTACCTATTATTTTTTTTTTGTAACATCAATAAACTCTATCTTTTTATACCATGAACCAATTCATACTGTTATACGGTAAGATAATATTGACTTAAAAGTTAATAAAAAATAACAATAATATATTATAATATAAATATATATTATGATAATAATTGAATACTAATTATAATAAATGCAATTTTTACTGAATAAAATTAAATCAACATACCGCGATAACGATAGTAAAATAAATTCGAAACCCTCAATCATTCAATCACACAATAATGTCATGAAAAACAGTACACAATACACTTCGCAATACACATTAATTAAATCGATGATTGTAAAAACGACACAGGTCACATTTTTTGTAAAACTTCATGAGTCAGAAAACTTTGAAAGTCAATAATAAAAAAACATCATAATATTATACACAAATTATGTATAATCAATGAATAAAATATTTCTAGGTACAAGTATTCATTTTTAAAAAAAAATTTTTTTCAGAATTATTTAAATTATACACTTTTTATCAATTATCCAAAAGTCAATTATTATACGGGTTATATTGGCTAACTTTTACTTTTATTATGAATAAAGTAACTTATAAAAAATCTATTATTCAATTTTCAAATTTTAGATATAGAAAGAAATTTTCTTATAAATTTCTAACTACAAAATAATTACTTTACAAATTTTCGAGATTTTATGAATTTGGTCAAAAGTTTTAAATTTAAGCACTTATAAATAAATATTAAAATTTATAACATTGTATTTTTCATATTTTTCAAATGGTAAAATAATTATTAAATGAAAAATTTACGAAGAGCTTTGTATTCAATCTTTAAGCATTTTAATTTTATAAAAAAAAATATCGAGTTTGAAAAAAAAAACTAAAAATAATGAAAAATTTAAAATTTCTATAAATTAACTAAAAAAGAAAAACAAAATATTTTGAAAATTATTTTAAGTATAAAAATGATCATACAAATATTTAGTGAAAATTTCATTTATTTATAATTATTCGTTTGTGAGTTAAGTCAAAAAAACTAAATCAAATTTGTCATTTTCCATTTTCTTAATTATTTTGGAAAACACGAGGAATTTTTAATTTTGATCTATAAATCATGAACACAATATATCAATACATTTATTATCGCTTCGCTTGGAATCTAAAATTATTCACTTCAATTTTTTTAAGTTTATTTAATAAAAACTCATAAGGAAACTTTATTTAATGTTCAATCCTTGGCTATTAACATTAAAAATCTAATTAATTTTTATTTAAAAAACAATTTACATGTGTTAGTAATTTTGACGATTTTTGAAACAAAATTTAAACTTTAAATAAAAAATTTAAAAATCTGTACCTATGTAATTTCAATATTTTAATAATACAGTAGGTTAGGTAAGTTATAAATTATAATACTTTTAAAATGTAGCTTTCTCAATCAATGATTCGCCCCTACATCACATCAACAGCTTCATAATACGATCAAATTCAATAAGCCGTAAAACGGCGTTAATTAGTTTTACATACAGAGCATATAAACAAAGTAATTAAACAATAAGCCACTTGTCTTAGGTACCGAACAATAAGTATATCATCATGAGATTGCGACGACGTGCAATGAACGACGATGGCTGACGACTTACTACTAAAGACTTGAAAAATAACTTATTAATTTTCAACTAATATAGATATTTGGATAATCATTTACGCGCGCTAACTTTGTTTTTCATATACAAACTATGCTTACGTGTACATTTTATCCCGATAAAAGAGGGCCTTGAGCTCTAGCAATACAAAAATATAAAAATGAGATCCACTCACCTATAATATAATATAAAAGCTGTTAGCGTCGATCAGCTGGTTTTTGTCGGCGCGAATTTGGTTTTCGTTCCTTGACGTCGCGGTCTAAGCTGTGATACTCGCACTCGAGAGCCTCGTCGTCCGTGTCGCTGCAGGTCGGGCTGCAGGTCAAAGCTAATTTGACGATGAATGCGGTGAGCGCAGTAGCCAGGATTAGAGTCACAGAGAGCAACAACAACACGAATGCACCGGGCGACAGAGCTGTCAGCACCATGTCACCTGTGAAACGCTCATAGACCTTATACCTTAGTATTAGGTCTATGGAAACGCCGGTAGTCTATGGCGTAATCGTGGTGAAGATGACTTTGGGAGAAACAAAGACTGAAGGGTCTGGCGACGTAGGCGGTCTATGACAGTGGACTCAGCTTCAAAAGCTCGATGAGCCGTTGGTTGCCGATAGCGCTTAAATGTCTCACGACAAGAGTCGGCGGATGAAGTTGAACGCCGCGGAAAATGCCTCGCCGATGTGCGCTCGTGTGCCTGGTCGGTTGCCGTCGTTTCAGCCGTAAACCTTCGTATATATCAATTATTTTAGAATACAGTCGCAACGCTCTCGACCGGAATAATAATAATCAGAAAATTATTATCATTGTTGGGAGTGATAACAGATGACAACGCCACAATCGAAAACGCTGATAGTACCTACACTATCGCTGCCGCCGCCGCTACTACTCATCGCGTCCTTGCATACAGCTCTTTACGACCGCCATTTTTATAATCAAATAATAATATTATTATTAATTTCTGATGTCTCGTTTTAGCCAAGTAACAACTAACAATATGACATCAGCTTACTAGACTTTTCATTAATTAAAAATTGCAATCGTTTGGCTCACAGCTGCAATATCGTGGACGATAGTGCTTAACAAAACGAACAGGTATCGATATCGGTGGTATACTGGTATGATACGAGATAAGTGATACCGATAAAATATAGTATATACGCATTAACGCATTTATTATTCAAGTTTATTACATCAAATATAATATAATAAAATAATATTTTTTGAAATATTATTTACGAAATCAAAACGACAGAAATCATAATAAATGTCAATCATAATGATAATTATTATCAAAATACATTTTTACATTAAAGCAAAAAGTTGATAAATTGAGACAATTGAGATAATTTTTTCAAATATAACTCCAAGTGTGGAGGAGAGACCGAAATTTAGTAACATGTCTCAAAATAATATGCAAACAAATAGTATCGCTTTGTAATTTGCTACCTACAAAGGTGTATATATAACATTTTAGTATAAAGCCACACTACATTTTTATCGGCATAACAGTTAAAATGATGACAATATTCTATTATATTCGCATGTTTAAAACAACAATTTATTCTCAAAATTATTTTTGATAAGTTGATTGTAAGTTAAAAAATATTAATCATAAAAATGAAATTTTCAAAACAATAAGACTTATTTTTGAGCATTAGAAATCTTTTAAAACGTTAAGGCTCCATAAAAAAAGTTTTAAAATTGAATGTCAGATTTCTAATAAATTGTACCTATACTGATTTAAAACATCAAAAATATACAACCAATATTTATTATTTTATATATAGATATAAGCGTTTAAATTATGAATCTTGAAAGAATTGGATATTTAAACAGAAAATAACAATTTTAATGATTTTGTTCTATATGAAAATATTAATATAACTTATCTATTATTAATAGAAAAATATATAAAATATTTTTAGAAATATAGACTGACAAATTATTAACAATATACAATTTGTATTATAACATATATAAATATATATATATATACAATGGTAATATTTATTTATAGATCATTGAATTCAAATTTAACATAATATCCATAATTCATGGTATAGTGGTTAGTGACCTACTCTGTAATCACAAAATTAATTTTTAGCATATTTTAAAATTAATCTACTTACATATTTTAAAAACATCATTACTTATAGTAAAATATATAATCAAAGTATAAATTATTTAAGTCCCCATGAATAATGTATTTGAATCATAGCAAAAATAATCGTTATTTGGTAATTTCTTCCAAACTTGAACTTCAAATGTGTATAAAAAATAATTATGATTAAGTATATTTTTTAAGATTTTAAGTTTCAGTATGAATTCCTTATGAGAAACATTCTATTAAATTATCAAACCTTAGGTAGTTATAATTTATAACCAGTGTTTGGAAGTTATAGAACTAAAAAGTACACTTTTAGCGCTTTAATATACATTTTAAAACACTAATTAAACGCAAAAAATAACGCTAAAAATTGGTAAATATGCAAAACAAAATTGTAATAACATTTTTAGATTTTTTTTACGATATAAATTTTATATTTTTTATAGAATGTTGTAGTAATTTTTAGAAACAATTGGTCAGATTTGAAACATAAATACAACAAATCCGATAATTGCAGTAACAATGTGTCTAAGAACATTTTTTTTTTAAATAACCAAATTATTAGAAATTAATGGAATAAATTGTCTTATGGCATATATTTTGATCTTATATCAACCGATAATGTATCTACTATTTAAAAATCAAAGTAAATATGTTTTTTTTCGCATGTTTATATATTTTACTAGAGTTTAATGTCTATTTTCTATATTACCTATATACAAATATCCCTATAAATATCAATTAAAACTCTAAATTAGCTAAATAGCACTATAAACTGTAAATATTGCATAAATTATCAAAATAAAATTTCTTATACGACATTAGAAAAGTGTAAAACAAATTTATATTTTATTTTCATTGTTCTATGACTTACCAAAAAAAAAAAAATATTCATTTGCTAGAACTTTAGAGCCCTGTGAACTAAAAGTTATAAAATTAGCTATAGTTTATAACTTAAAAACTCAAAAATTTTATAATTTTTTAATAACTACAAAATATTAGTAGTTGGTAAATTTTTATAATTTTGACAACATTTGAACCACTAATGCACTAATGCTTACAAAAAAAAAAAAAAAAAATGTGCCTATATCTAACTATTTTTAAACATTTTCAATATATATTATTATTAATAATTATTAACAATAATTAAATTAAATTAATACACTTATATTCAGTGAGTAATTATTATTTGGGTATAAATTTTAATCTCAAAGTTTTCACATTTAATTATTTTACGTTAAGGTCACGTGAGGATAAAATATTATAATATTATAAAAAAATTATTGCGGTTAATATTTATCAATATACTATACAGTACAAATGCATTATATTTAGATTACTGCGTTTCACTTACGTGTATTCTGTTGACATTTTAAAAATTATACATTTTAACAAAATATTAAGTCCAGTATATACATTATATTATTTTAATAGAATAAAATACAAATGTAAGTTTGTAAAAACCAAGATCAGTATTTTGATTTTTGAAATAGTATGAATTTCCTTCTCTTTCAAAAAAAAAATAAATATACAGATCCTCGAGTTTGAAAGTATTTTTTATTATAGTTATAAACTTATAACAATGCAATATCAGAGTGATTCTGCATTTTCATTTTGATAAAATATTTAAATGGTAGGTACAATATATATTAAAATTGTTAAATGTGTATATTTATTATTAAAATTATCTATACGAAACTGCTTAAACTCCTTAAAAACAGACGTGTAATATCATATTAAATTATATATTTAGGTATATAATTTAAAAATAAATTAATCATATACAATAATATTCAATGAGTATATGAACAAAATATTTTTCATAACATAATGATCACAAAATTTCAGTTAAAAAAATTGTTCAATAAGTATGATATTTACATAGATTACCCCTAGAAATAATTTTTAAACTACAAACAGCTGTATAGTATGCCTCTAACTATTAAATTAATATTACAAGCTACGGCCTACTGCTTTCAAATGACAATTTGTTTTCTTTTTGTTCTTTTAAAAATAAAACAAGTGATAACAATATTAATTAGTATAGTAACTATTAACTAGCATTTTGTATTTATTTTAATTTATATATATTTTGATAATTTTGTTTACTCAGCAGTTAGTATAATGTATCGATATATCTATTATATCTTGTTTCATATTATATATTTGTATACTTTATGTTTAATCTAATATTTATCTTGATGATTAATGGCCAATGTCCAATCAATTTATTAAAGTGTTTTTAATGAGTAATAAGTTACTAATGTCTAATGGCTATTATTATGTTGTTATTTGATTATAATATAGAAATGGAATACAATAAAACTGATCAAATAAATAGGTACCACATTTCTTAAACTACTAATCGCCATTGATGTTTCTTTTATTAGATATTAATACAGCTATTGCATATTTTTCAACATTTTTAATTTAACGCTTAAATAATTATTTTGTTTTACTAAAAGTGTGATACTTAACTAGGTTTTTTTTTAATTTAAACTATAATTTTAAACTTTGAATTAGCTCAACAGCTAAAATTATTAAGATTAGACAACATTGTAATTTGTAATTACAAATTACTAGGGCCCGGAATATAATACACTAAAAACGTACTAAATGTGCATACATTTATGCACTGGTTATCATTCAATTATGCACTTTAAAAATGCAAAAATATGCAAAAAACCTAATTAAAGAAAAATCTTTTATTTTCATTAAGTATAAATAAAAAGATTGAATAAAAGTTATGCACACACGGATCATGACAAACACGACGAATGTATGATTCACTAAAATCTACTCAATCACAGATTACTTCTTGTCCCGATAGGTCTCGGATAAGATAAGAAAACAACTGTCAAATTACATGAACTGTAAATATAATAATAAATACATTAATTTTTTTAATTAAAATAAGCAAAATATTACATCCTATGTATTTAAAAACCGTATATATGCAATAAAAAAATATCGTAAAATACAGAAATATGCAAAAAAAAACTTAGTAATTAGGATCTATTGACTACAAATCAAATTTATTGCTTACCTAGTTAATCCGAGCCCTACTAATTACGCTATTCTTATTTATCTATAAACTCGCATCATAAAATAATATATCAAGTTCATTTTTTTCATTTTATTTTTGTATAATACAACTTTTCTTATATTTATACAATTTTAAAATCTTAAAATATTTAATAAGCGTTAGGCACTAAACCACTAAACAGAGATTGCGAAAATATGAAATTTTCTGATAGTTAAAATGTACTTGTGCATCTTTATTATTGTTTAATATCATTTTACTAGTATTTATTTATTTGTTAATATAATACGTATTTTATATTATAATATAATTTAATAATATTTTCGAACATAAAAGTTGTAATATAAGTTAAAAAAAATATATGAAATATACAGATTAAAAAACAAAAATACATAGCGAAATTTTTAATACCTAATTACTTTAATTCACACTGGTGTACAAACGTACAGCGCAAATAATTTGAGATCCTTTGTTGTTAAGTTTATGTTACAGTGAATTGAACTATTATTAAATTTAAAAGTAAAAATATTATTTGTATTTATAGTTTGATTTTTATCAATATTTTAATTTTCAAGCTAGTTATTAATTAATTTCAAGTTGATTAAATAATATAACTATAATAGTATGATACCTACGCTTATTTTACACAACATTAAAAACACTTTATGTATAATTTAATATATGCGTGATAATAAAATTATAATTATTAAAGCTTTTAATATACAGCAAGTAATTGATTATTGATATTAATTTAATATAGGTAGGTACCTACATTTTTAATTTGTTTTTGAAATAGGTAGTTGTCAGTTGAGTTGTTATTCTTTCATAGAATCTTGAGATTTGAGAAAGTTAAACTATATATTTTGGGCCTAATGGTAATATAAGTATATCATATTAATAAGGTTGTCTGTAAAACTGTAAACAAATAAGTACCTATACATTTATCATTTTTGCGGTTTAGTAACAGCGCATAGTGCGTACGTGGTAGGTGTGGACAGCGTCGACATCGTTAAATTCCGATTTAAAATAATTGAAATCAGAAATCTCAACCGTCGATTCCCTTTTCCGCATCGTAACGAGTCGACGGCGCGGCGTAGTGGTGCCAAGGCGGCAAGGCCGGTACCACGTCTACCGACGCGACAAATTACCTCCATAGCGACGGTTAGAAAACGACCGTTGCGCGGCGTTCGCATATCCCCACCGGCATATTGTTTACGCGCAACGCAACGTAACGGCGGCGGCGCACTAACACCGTTTTTGAGATTACCGGACGTTAAATTCGAACGCGAAATCACTGAAAAAGTGAAGTCCCGCGCTTTTATTGTTTCGTCGCCAGAGTCTTATCGAACTCGTTTTGTCGACGCCGACTTTAATGATATCGGTTTTTTTTCCGTCGATAATACCGCCGTGAGAAATCTTTCCTGGTTGAGTTTCGCAGTCGTCTGTTTTCCGTTCATCTGTGCCCTTCCAAATCCCGTGACCAAGCCATCCGGACCGTGACAGTCGGAACTGCAACTGTTCCGTTCAAGCGATTTACCATGGACGACTTTACAGAGGTAAGTCATTGGAATATGTTTTTAATTTAGTACGATTACGATGATAATTATTAATTATACAACAGCCGATAGACGATAGACATAACAGCAAATCGCTATTATGACCGTGTAAAAGATTTAATTTATCTCGTCACTTGTCATGTATGTCTGTGTACGACTTCAGTAGATAATAATTTTTATGTAGCCCATTGCTTATGAAATGTTCGTTTAGATTTTTAGCATATTTATATTTGTTGTGTCCAAGAGAGAGCTACGCTTTTGTTATTGTTGTTTAAATAATAAAACCAACGGTCACTTATCTAGGTTGATTTTTGTGCAATTGATATCTATCTGAATTTCATTATCATTTTTTTTTTAAATCAAATATTCTGTATAAATTATGTCTATCAAAACAGTCATAGTATAGCTCTGTCTAAGTGGAAGTAACTGAAATTTTTTGTAAAATGACATTGTGGAATGTTGTTTATCTTGTTATTTTACATCGTTTTTACCAGGTTATATAGTAATACATAAATGATTAGAGTAATTAGACTGTCAAAATGAGCTTTAAATAGTATCAAGTTTTTTTTACCATAATATCACCGAACAATATCCAAATAAGTAATTAGGTAATGATGTATTTTAAAAGAACTCAGTGTATGTTATGTAGTTATTGTATGTTTATCTGGTAACTCTAAATAAACTGAATAAGGTATTCGTTTAGTATGTGACCTACTGGTCGAGGGACCTACCGTATAAGGTGTTTGTTTTGCATGTGTGACCTACCGGGCCGATAATTAATTTAAAAACATTCAAATTAAAAATTATATAATATTAGGTTATTTTATTATTACAGAATATCAGTATAATCCATGTATCAGTTCCATGCATTTTTCGTAGGATTTTAGTTTTTAATACTCTCCATGAACATTCAAATGCTTGTGTATGAGCTCTAGTAGTTGGATCAACAAAATTTTTTGAATGGTTTACTGTTTTATGATCATAGACTATATTTTTTAAACAAGAATATGCTCTCCATTCATATAATATAGATAATCGTTGTGGTAGGTCACACACTAAACTCAGTAATATAGGTAGGTCACATACTAAACGAATACCCTGAATAGTAAGAAATATCTACCTATAAAACCTATAAAAATGTATATATATAGTAAATACTATTTTTTTATTGTTTTATAATCATTTTTGATTATTACAAATGCTGTATCTATTTAAGTTTTGTAAAAAATAATACAGTAGATTCTCGTTATGTCAAATCTTAAGGGGAACAGAAAAAAGTTCGAGATATCGAGTTTTATTAAGAAATAAAAAAACTAATATGTATGTATAAATGTATGTTGTATAATGTATATGAATAATAAATAATACGAATGACTAAAATAGACTAAAATTTGAATAATTAAAATACTGAAATGACTGAATAAATTATTTTTCTTTAAAAAAATCTGTCATTAAGGTTTGCTTCATATTACTTCTTTCTGCCACGACGTCTTCCAAATTATTTAATGCAGAAAAAGCCTTATCATCCATACCTGTAGTAGTCTCAACAAAATGCCTTAATGTTTTTAAAGCATCTTTAGCTTGTTGAGTTGTTACTTGGGTAAAAATGACTATGTTGATGACAATACCTATGTTAACCGTAACAAAAATATTATTTGTGAACTCGAGATAATGAAAAACGATTAATTTTATATCGAGTTATCGAGAGCAAAACACTATTAAGTGTAAGGGGAATTCAAAGTAGTTCGAGATAACGAAAAATTCGAGATAGCGACGTTCGACATATTAAGAATCTACTGTATAAATAATTGAGTTAACACACACAAAAAAAAAAAGTTATCCAGAACTATTACTGTGGTAAATTACTACCAATTAATGATCAAAATATTATTAAATAATTTTGTTAACAATTAAAAAATTTATAAAATAAGAACTAATTTACATTTTAATAGATACCATCTTTCATTATGGCACCATAGTTTATACTACACATACCTGTATAGGTATTTAAAAAAAAAATAGTAGTATATTAGGAAAGTAAGCATTTATTTTGGCTTGGTACTAAATGAAAATGTATTTTTGTAACCATAAAAATCTATCATGGGTATTTATTATATTGAATTAATTAATCATGAAACTTAGATATTGATTCTTGGTAGTGAATTTGATTGGGATAAATTTGGTTGAATTTAATCATATAATAAATTACATAAAATTAACTCTCATTTTTCTATAATAGCTTAAACTATTTTTAATATGTGGTCTCAGGTGACTGCATTTTTATTATGTTAATAAACTAAACCTTTGGAATGGTAAAATTCTCGATAGAGAAAAGTGCTGAGTCTCTCTTAATATATGCTTATAAATCAAAAAATATTTAATTTTTCATTAGTATCATTATTATTATTTTTGTAATTTAAGCTAAATAAATATGTTTACAAGGTGTAGGTAGGTATAAATATAAATAATACAAATCATTTAAAATAGATAAAAATCTTTACCTACACTAAATGAGTTGCCAATTAAAAGTGATAAGCCCATATTTTATTCAATCATCATTATTAACTCTTATTAGTTCATATTACTTAACATAGGTTATATTTTTAAATGTAAAAGAACCTAACAAAATGACAACCATTTAATAATACAATTTCTATTCTTTTGATAAGTAGATTCAGGTATTGAGTTAATTAATCAAAGTATGTTAAATTATTATAAAAATCAAGTTTGTAATTATATAATACACACCTATTAAAATATAACATTAAAAAAAAAAAAAGTTAAAACATTTAAAATGTATTTCTAGAAAGATTTGTGTTTTTATATTTTATACCAATCTTCCATCATTATGTAATAAGTTTTATAAAGTCATTACTCAATATAATTGGTGTATCTATTTGTCTTATTTAACTAGGGCTAGGATTTATATGCATTGGTATGTTTTTTTTGCAACTTCTTATTACTACTTTTGTTAATAATGCTCATGAATCAGTTCATGACGAGGTAAATGGTGGTATTTTTTTTTATTTTTTTTGCATGTTTTGGATAAAATGCATATTTTTGTATATTTTAGCTACAAAAACACGAAAATTGCATGTTTTATGGTATAATTCTGGAGTATCCAAATATTGATAACATGATAAGTTGTGTGAAAAAAGTATTTTGAAAAGTTCTGAGTCATGTGTTCAAATTTCGAGAATTACTTTTACCTTTATAGCCTATACTTAGTAGGTATACTTACCCGATGAGGAACTTGGCTAAAAGCCACATCATATTATGCTGATAATTTCAACTCAATTAAATTGGTGCTTTTATCTTTAGACAAAAGTTCTGCGAAATCAATAAAGAATACTATAGCTTTATTTTAAAATAGAAATATACAAAATAATTTAGCGTATATAAATTGTAATTTTGGCTTTATCACCCAATCTATTTTAAAATTAATAAATGCCTCACTTTTACTTGATGAGAGTTTGAAAATCGTTGAAAAAACTAAATTTAAACTTAGCCAAAACAAATAACCTATTGCTAAAAAATCGATAACAAATTAAAAAATGTGTTAGAAAAAAATACTGGACTAAAATCTATGTTTAAAATACATAAAATTTTAAATGGCAACAATCTAGGTGAAGATTTCAAACAAAATTTAAATATGCAAAAATTGTGTCGTGTGATGTTGAGCAAAGTTTTAGCAAATATAAAAATTTATTAAGGTCAAATAGAAGATCGTTTACTTTTGAAAATTTAAAACACCATATTATTGTCTTATGTAATTCATTTGAATAGCTTAAATGAAATGAATTCAAAAATAACAGATAAGTTATAGATTTTAGAATTTTTTTTAATGTATTTGTATTAAGTGTTTATTTTATCATATTTTATTGGCTCATTTTAACATGTTTAGAGTAATTTGAAAAAAAAAAATGTGTTTATTTAACAATAATTATGTGGTATATTTTAACATATTTTTATTGCTTATTTTTGCATATTTTTAATTAAACAAATGCATATTTCATCATTTTTTATTGTATATAAATCTTAGCCCTACATATAACATTAACTATTCATAAATCATGATATGTACAGACATGACACTTCATATATTTTATAAATATTATATATTATACTAAACAATTGTGAGGTGGTATATTGGTATATTGGTCAACGTGTTGAATAAATAAGTTAAAGCTTGTAAATTATATTTTCTCTTAAATTACATTATGATGTTGGATTAAAATTCATTGGTAGATTGCACATAGATATATTCTAAACTTTTATTGTTTTTCCAGCGCATGTTAGAAAGGACACAAAGACGTCAAAAGCTTCTTGCGTCCACGTTGTCCCAAGTATCTCAACCAACACCTTCATCAGCCATGGAAACATCGCCAACAATTCAGCAATCGGATTCACCACCTGCACGTCGTCAGCGACGTACTCGTCTTGCTGAACTTGCCAACCAAGTAGATCAATGGTTATCAGATGATCAGAACTTTAAACAAAGTGAAAATATTTCAAACCCTAAAGTAAATTTATTAAAAGTTATACTAGTGAATTGTATATGAAGTGCAATCATTGATTTTAGATTTGACAGATACTCCTTTATAAATTTATAATATATTTTATTATTATTTTTACCATAATTTTATTGATATAATAATTTTTGGTTTATTATAAAATTAATAATAAAAATTATATTATATAAGTAATTGCACTCATACGTATATCTTAAACTATGTGCATAGTAAATGTGTAATTTATATTTAGATGCCCATTATATTATATATATATATTAATAACATTAAAATGAATGTAAATGTATTTATATATTTTTTTTTTTTAGAAAACAGAAAAAATTAATGACATTCAAAATGAACCTAACAAATTGGTAACTGTGTCTTCACAATATGCTATTAAAAAAGATATAATTAAGGTAATGTATAATAATAAAAGGTTATGCATGTTAAAATATGTATTAATAATTTTTTAAAATTTATATACATACCTTGTAATTTAAAATGTTTAGAAGAATGATGCATTTTGATATTTTCTAGACTAATGAAAATAAATCAACTGACATACAGCAACCAAAACCACAGCAGTACAGTAATAAGTTGAAACAACTACGCCACCAGCAGCAGTTAGATAAAGAACCTCAGCCTCAGAAACATTCACCAAATCTCAGTTCTACTACTTTGACAGTTGCACAACGTCGAGCATTATTTGAGCCAAATATTGTTACTCAACAGCAGAGTAAAAAACCAATTACTACTACAACTGTAACCATATCTTTGACTAAAACTACCCCTGCTACTGTTAATACTACAACATCAACAACTGCTGCTAATGAAGCAACTGAAGAATCTGCAGAAGAAGTAATTAAAACGCCACCACGTCCTATTCCACGTAGTGAATCTACCCCACCTTCAAGACGTGGCTCTAGGCCTAGGACAAGTCTTGGTGCTTCTGCTGCCTCAAACAATTTAATTGAACATCAACGCTCTGTATGGACTCCACCATGTATAAAAAATGTGCTTTTAAAAAAGAAATTGATCAACGAACTAGAAGATGATGAACAATCATCAGATAATAGTACTAAAGATAAAATTGGGTTAAAAAGAGGTCCTTTTGATAAATATAATTCAGGTACAATAATTCTGTTATAATATTTTATGTTTTACAATTTATAAAGTTAACTTTGGATATCTTTTCTATATGCATTTGAACATAAAAAATATTATTTTATCAAGATTTGTGTTATTTATGATACTACATTTTTTTATGTTATAGGTTCTATTAAATACAAGCCGGCTTCACCATCTTCCAACTTATATCCAGATTTATCTTTGATAGCAGATGATAACTTAGGAAACGATACTTCACTGACACCATTGGAAATTCAACCTATGGCATGCAAGGTAGTATTGTTTGTGTTTATTTTGTGTATGTTTATTAATTATTTTTATAATTAATGTGTACAGAGACGCAGTAATGGAAGCAGTGCTTTAAATACTTCTACTACATCTTCCGAATCTGTACCCGAAGACTGCGATGATGCTGAAAATTTAGGGGCTAAACGTTATAGGTGTCATCAGAAAGAAAAAAGTCCAGAAACAAATAACATAGCTTCGCTTCAAGAGGTTAGTATAGTAATATATTTTTATACCAATTATATTTTATAATTTCTAATGATATGTACATTTATAGGTAACTTCTCCATCCACACCTATTACAGGATTTAATAGTACCCCTGGTGGTGGTCACTGCTCTTTACTGTCAAGCCATGCAGGTAGTCCATTATCACAAGCTTGTTCTAGTTTTATATTCCAACACGGCAATGAAAGTCTTAGCGGTAACAAAAGTTTCTCTAACTCAACTGAGCAAAGACAAGGGTTAGATCAACAATGCAATGCACAGGCCAATCAGTTACCTGAGTCTCGACTCATTGACAAATACTTTGAGTTTGTGAATTCTGACGGAGAAGAAGAATTAGCAGAACCTATTACTGATAATGTATTTTCACCCAAAGAGTTGGGTTCTTGTGGCCGACTTCAGTTTAATAACAGCAAACATAATGTTGACAATATTGAACCTGACAAACTTAACAGTAGCAGCAGCAGCAGTAGTAGCAGTAACACTAAGCCAGCGCTTGTACATACAATTAGCACATATCGTAAACAACAGCAACAGTTACGATTAAATGGAGCTAATTCTTCTAACAAGGTATTTATTATGTATGACAACCTTTTGTAGTTTGTGTCTACTAAGTACAAATTTAGCAATGAATTAATTGATTTTACATTAATGTGTGCTTCGTGTATATACAATTTATAATGCTTTGATTTTTAATATTGAAGATAGTTTCTAGTTGAAATTGGATCTAGTTACTAATTTTGATAGGTTACAATTTTAAAGTTATTTGTATTTTTCAAAATAATTTTAAAACCTGGATTTTTTATGTTAAACCTATTATTATTATTCATTGTTACTTAAGAAACTATTTTATATATTTACAATAATATTTTAAATTTTATGAACAGCAATTCAACTTTCCATATTACTAATTGTAAATTAAATAACTATAATAGAAAAATTATTATAGCATTAAATATATTTAATATTATGAATAGTTTCTAAATAATATTTCATAATTCAATACATTTACTGTAGTGGTGACTTACTATAAGATAAAATATACTTCTTATATCCTATTTTTAAAATTGTTATTTATAAATCATATCTTAGATTAGTAGTATTTATTACTGTTAATATCAATTAATAACTTGACTATTAACATTTAAATTCATATTTTATTATAGCAACAAATAAGAATTCCAGAACGAGTAACTGAAGAACAAGACGAGGATACTGACGAAGAAGAAATACATTTACAAGAGTTGGAAAAAGTAGCAGCACGAGCTAGAGACTTAGAACGGATAGTGGTACCAGAACAAGACCGCATAATTGAACAAGCCACCCAAGCTTTGAATATTTGCGATGTATACAGGCAAAAAAACACTCTTCGCCCAGTGATTTCTAATCAATTTTCACCTGAACATATACATGCTGAACGACTTTTGTTGATTGCAGGTATATGCCTAGTTATGATTAGTTTAAAATTGCTTAAGTTAAAGCGTTTTTAGAATAAAAATCAATAAATATATTAAATCATATTATTATCTTAAAACATCAAAAATGTTTGTTTAAATTATTTTTATAAATACTAAAAAAATAATGTTTTTAGTTAATGGTAATAAATGTATTTATATATATTTCTAAATATTTTGTCAAACAAGTTATTAACAATTATTGAACTAATAATTAATTTTGTATTATTTATAGGTCTGAGGCGAACGGATGCAGTTCGTGAGGCACAGAGGCTTCGTGTTGAACGCACATTATTACCAGGTGGAATCATGGGGGAAAGGTCTACTTACTTAAGTGCTCGTGGTAATGGTAAAACACTTGTTATTCAGAGTCTACGTGTTCCCATTTTATCATCCTTAAATAGTGGTGGAAACCACAATAAGATGAAGCATAATTCAGGCGAGGGATTAGAAAATCTGACCAGATGGCCAGGGGGGTATAGGTATTTTGTGTGTGCCATTAGAGCGGTGGCTACAGTTCACCGTCCTCCAGTGACTGCTGCTTCTCGACCAGCTGATGCTGTTGAAGAGTCAGTGCTTCGATTCTCTAATGATGCTGCCATCTGTCGTAACATTGATGAAATAAATTATGGCTATGTTGAGTTTATTACTAAAAAAAGAGTCAAAAACTCTGGTAGCCGAAAATGTCCAGCTCCTACCGAATCAGAGGGTGCTCCTATATTGATCCATGGATTGGATGACAGAGGATGGAAAATCACTGTTGAGTTATATGGTATATCCCCAACAAGCAGTGGAGAGCATGACCACCATAATGGTGGTAATGTCAAGGAACATGATGGCCACGAAAATAAGAGTGTATTGGTCAGTATGTTATTGCAGTAATTGTTTATTTAATTAATCGCTATAATCTATATTCTATGAGTTTTGAATATTATATTTTAGTAGATACTCTTTGAATTTTTTGTATTTTATTAACTCTATGCAATACTGAAATATTGAAAATAATTTTAGGCGATACTGATAGAAACTAGAAACAAATATTTTAGTTGTTGTTTATATATTATAAATACTTTTTGATTCTAATATATAGTTATATGTTTTAAATAGGACAAGTTATGGTCTACAGTCACTACCCCAAGTAAGGATCCCAAAAAACATCATGGTTCAACAGCAACAGCATCTATTGAATCGCCAGGTGGACCAATGGCTGTACGGAATACAGTGTTTCGACAACTTGGTTATTTTGTTTTTTCTGACGGCCAGGTGGACCGGAAACAGTTTACTTTGAATAAGGTTTTTATTTCATTTGCTCTATTAGTCTATAATAATAAATCATTATTTATTTTGTTATTTTATGCCTAGGTCCATCAATCAGGTGGTATTTCAAGCAGTTCGAGAGTTACTACAAATGCTGCAGTGGAAGAAACGGTGCGCATAAACATGAGCCTCCTAGAAGAAGGAGAGAAATATACTTATGAAGATGATATGGGTGAAATTAATTTGGATAACAAATCTTCGGAATCCAATTCATATGCTTCTAGTGGCATTAAAGCTGTTTTGGCACCTAAATCACTGAAATTCCCATCTGAATGCAAAAGATTGGAAGGATTTTTAACATTGTTTGACGACCATGAGTTACGAACACATAATTTTGAGCGGGAGGGTCAGTGGAAACGCCGTGCAGATATTGGTGGTACTAAAGGTGGCACTACTTCATGGCGCCGTCTTTGGTTTCGGGCTGAAATAATTGCTATGAATCAACAAAAATCTATAAATAACAGTGACAAATCACAAGAACATCAAAACGATATCAAATTTAAGCAGCAAACCATAGTGTTACGTTATTGGATGTACCCAGAGTATGCTGAACAAGAACGAGAGGTACTTATAATTATATATTTATTAGATAGTGCACTTGAATTTAATTCAAAAATAAACATTCCTATTCACATTAATTATTTCATTAAAATTACTCATTTTTAAGGGATTTTATTTAGGTAATTTTAACAAATTGTTGAGAAATATTAAGATTTTAAATTTTAAAACTATTCAAAGTAACTTACAAATAGTCCCATGTTTATACCATCGTTGGTTATTGCATGTTTACCAGATTGTATAAACAATTCAAGTAAAACTATAATACTTGCAAGTTTTATCATATGTACCATATATAAATTTGGTTTCTGAATTAAAACTGTAAATTAAATAGATTTTTTTACCTCAAATGATTCTTTTTTTATTATTGAACTTAAGCCCGGTGACTAGGGCCATTATCTGTTGTAGGGGTTATGAACTGTGAGTAAGATTAGTACGGTAGGTTGTTTTTACGATTGTTACGGTTGTTATGGTTAGCAAACACATGTATGTGTGGCAAGGTTTTTAACCACTATGAATCCATGTGGTTACACGTTCAGGAGTTAGAAGCTATGGCTGTAACTTAGTCGCATTCTATGACTGGTAGCAGCCAACACGTCACGTCTAGCCACTCAAATGATTTGTATACTCAACGAGTATTTAATATTTTTTTTAAATTCAAAAATCTAATCGTAAAAAATATTTCTATTTACACTATTATATTGTCTAATATATTTTTTCTTGTATAAAATAGTATAATACTAAGTGTTGTCAATTAAATACTTATATTTTAAATCATTTTTTAATTCATAAACAAAAACAAGATTTTTGAATTTTTTTTATTTTTATTTTTGGAAACTTTAGATTAACCTATAGTGGTAATAAATATTTAATTCATACAATATTTTTAGCCTCTAGGTAGCATAGACTTAAACTGCTGTTTGCCACCACCCCCACTCGAAGAGGAAATCACAACTGCCGTCCCAGCTCAACAGCTAAAACATAAACAGAAGCCAATCCCTGCTGCTCCAGCTCTTCCAGACCTATGCACTCGGCCAAACACTCTACGCTTGATTTTGTATAATGATGGTGAATGTGATAACTTAAATAATGGAGATCACGATGATGAAAATTCTCGTGAAGTTCTACTGCTGGCTGCTGACAATACAGATGAACGGCGTGAATGGTGTGAAACTATAAATGCAGCAGTAAATGCTATTAGCGGACACCGTGAACAGATCAGATTAGCTATGGCTACTCAATTAAAGAAAAAACAATACAATAATGAAAAAGAACAAGAACAAATTCGACAACAAGTTGAACAACGTACTGGTGCTTGGCCTACTACGCCAGGTGGTACTCGTCAATATTATGGCAGAAAAAAGAAATTTTACAAATAATTAATTACTTCAAAATATATACCTCAAGTTGTTTTATAACTTGTTTCATTTTAAGTATCTTATTAATCATTATATATATAATTATTATTATTATTATTATTATTATTATCATTTATTATCATTATTATTTCGTTTGTTTTTTAAAAATACAATTTAATATTAAATTTAAGAAGTTTTACTTGAATTTTTAAAATTCAACTTTTCATAATATATTTTTAGTATTGTAGAATTTTTTTGAAGTAATGATTTCAGTACAAGCTAAAATAATAAGATAAATATTATTTTTTTCATTATTATTTTTGTTTAATAATTAATATTTTAACTTACAACTATGATTATGTTCTATGTTATTGTATCATAATTTATTGGTACACAAATCGTAGTTTGTCACTCTATGGTTTTACGAATTATTATCATTATGTATTTGAAACATATTGTAAGAATTGAATTTACACTTATCTTATTTTATATACATTAAACATATTAATTATTTAATTATTTTGAGTGTTGTTGCTATTGTATTTTAGGGATGAGGACCAAGTTTAAATAAGTTCTTGAAAAAATAATTAAAATACGAGTTGGTACCAAACATTATCAAATATATAGTCAAATTAAATTTATAAAATGTAGTACAATATCATTACTCTAAATTTTTACACGATTGATACCTATTCCAAAATTGTCAATTTTCAGTTAGAATAAGTAGAGGTTGGTTTAATAAGAAAATATATACTTATATTGTATATTCTAGTAATTTTACTTAACCAAAAATAAATTTATTACATTTTTTATATTTGTTTTTATGATTTGAATAAATAAATGTTAGAAGTTAGAACCTATTACATAATTATATATATATATACTAGTTATATTCATCAAAACATAATAATACTTGTTTCAACATATAAAAAATTTCAAAATCTATTCATGCTAAAGTTGTCATTGTTACTAAAAAGTATTTTTGAATAAGAAATGACAATTTTTTTAAGACTGTTCGAGACTTTTTATAGTTTTGTTATGGTTACAACGGTTGTGACTTATGAATATACAACTATGTGTTACTTGAGTAATCAATAATTTGTTTATTGTGGTGTCTATATTTAATACATACTTAGTGTATTATACTGTTCAAATTAAAATCAGTTTTACTTTTTAAAAAGTTTTTGTTCTGAACAGACAGGCAATGTCTGCTCATCACTAAGTCTATTATCTGTAAGCCTGCACCGTTGTGAAGTGAGTTTGACGTGCATTTGTGCATAAGGATACACGGATACGTTTTTTATTCTAAAGATAATATAGTCAAGCCTTGGTATAAGAAAAATTACTAAGGAAGTGTTACTATAGGCACAAAATATTGAATTTTTCAGCAATACAATTATTTTATAAACAGTACCAGATTTTAACTGATTATAAACTTATAACTGTTAAAATTCTTAAAAACTAATTGTTGTTGGAAGTATACCAAATTGCTTTTAACATTTTATTTTAGATCAATCATAAAAATGTATGTGCCGCTATGCCACTGGACACTCAAATTTGGTTTTCATAGACTTATTTAGTATATTTTACGCGTTCAAAACGACACCGCCCAAGCGTAGAATCGGCAAATCAGTGGTACCAACGTATCAAACATCGTTATCATCGGTTTCGTCACGAGACTTAATTATTGACTACTATAACTTTTCTAACTACGGTTTTTCTCAAGCGCTGTCTCCGATCTAGGGTATTCTCTTTCAGCGAGTTTCACCGACTGCTGGTATATAAAAAAATCGGAATTCACTATAAGCTTATAACATTTTGACGATGTGCCACTTGCTTATTACTTATTAGTTATTACTTATTATTGCTTTTAGGTATGGTTTTACAGCTAAAACATTTTTTATGATTATACTATAACAACATTTTCAGAACATGTTTTATCGGTCTTTCGCTGTGTCAAGTACTAAGTACCTATAAGTATAATATTTTTTGATAGGTATTTCAGTATTTGATTTTCTTAATTGAAATATTTTATCTAACGATTATAAGGTTTTGTTAAAATAATATTAAAAAATGCATGTGAGACGTTTTTCAAAATATTGTAGTCTTTCATTTTTACAATAGGGGTAGTGGATTTCTTTTCATAATTATTGAGCCAAAACGTTTCTAGAATATTTGTATAATTTTTATACAAGAACTGAGAATTTTTCTAAGTTATTAAAGTTAGGTTATTGTAGGTACATATATCACGCAAAAATATTTAATCGAGTTATTGAAAAGTTAAAAACTCTAAATCACTAATTCATCATATTATCTAAAGAAATCGAATCAAAATTATCTTCAAAATATATCTAGGCATATTATAAATTGGACAGTTTATTATTAATAAATATGTATCATGTGAAATTATAATAATTTTAGTTCGCACAAAACGTTTTTTATTTATTTCATTATCATAATAATTATGGTACATAATTTCTTTAAAATTGTTCAATTAAAAATCAGAAGTCCTTATTAAAGAGCTGGTGTATGAGTATGATTTACTGTTAATGCGGTTTTTTCTTATTTATTTATTTTTTTTTCGAAACATTTTACTGTAATAAAACTCTTGCGTACTAACAGTTGAGGATAAAGCGATTTTACAGTCACGAATTTATTACAAATAGGGTGCCGCTCGAATGTGTGCAGAGTTGTCAGATTGTGCCGTCTCGTGATGAACAAAGAGCGACGGGACGTGACCGTTAACGGGGTTGAAGTAGAGGGGAAACCATCACCGCTGAAATAACAACTCCGTCGGCAGAACGTTGGCTCAATCGATTTTATGTGTAAATACATTTTATCGAGGGTGCCTGGAACATTGTGCAAATCTTTGTATAGTCGCTCATGGCAACCGTCGCCAAGCAACAGCTTATTACTATTATTTTTTCATTGGAATATCTACACCGTCGAAACGAGGAAGAGCAAGCGTATTATTTTAAAATGGTTTTTAATCACATCAATAGCGTTTGAAGAATGAATACAAATTGAGTAGTTTCAATATATCTATACACGAATACGTTTTTAATGACTAATACATGTATAATCCTGCGTGTGAATGCGTAATATAAGTTTACTCGAATTCAATCATGTGATTAATTCATATTAAAATATATTAATTAATATATATTATTAATATTTATTTGTATTTAAAATACGATACGAAATGGTGGCATTAACGTATCCGAATATTTAAGTACAATCTTAGAATAAGGGCAAACGATTCTATAAAGTGACCAAAAGTATCACCGTTTCAACCCTTTAATCTGTAGCATGAAAAAGAAAGTATTTTTTTATTATTATTCTGTGAAAACACATACGGGCATCGGAGTGTTTTAAATATTTTAAATATTATTTTTATATTATTTTTTAATATTATTGTTAAATGATATTTTTAAAAACCGTAATACGATGTTACCTTTTAAAAGTATATATATAAATTAAAAGTATATCGAGTCTGCCGTAACTAACATTTATTTCAATACATTTTTAAATTAATTTTGAACGAACATATTATATTTCTACGATTGGGGCGATGAGTATTAATAATAAAATTGGCAGGTGTTCATATATTTTTCAATATCCATATAAGAATAAAATACTGTTTCAGCAACCAGCCGGCTGCTTATTGATTTTTTACGCGCACCGGGCTGGCAAGGCATTGGTATCCTAGCAACGACTACAGGAGCTGCCGGCGAGGGTGGCCGCAACTGCCTCCGAGGGAAGCACCCCTCGTTAATTCATACACAATATTCATTTGTACTTAAAATATGATACGGAATGGTGGCATTAACGTATCCGAATATTTAAGTACAATCTTAGAATAAGGGCAAACGATTCTATAAAGTGACCAAAAGTATCACCGTTTCAACCCTTTAATCTGTAGCATGAAAAAGAAAGAATTTTTTTATTATTATTCTGTGAAAACACATACGGGCATCGGAGTGTTTTAAATATTTTAAATTTTATTTTTATATTATTTTTTAATACTATTGTTAAATGATATTTTTGAAAACCGTAATACGATGTTATCTTTTAAAAGTATATATATAAATTAAAAGTATATCGAGTCTGCCGTAACTAACATTTATTTCAATACATTTTTAAATTCATTTTGAACGAACATATTATATTTCTACGATTGGGGCGATGAGCATTGATAATAAAATTGGCAGGTGTTCATATATTTTTCAATATCCATATAAGAATAAAATACTGTTTCAGCATCCAGCCGGCTGCTTATTGATTTTTACGCGTACCGGGCCGGCGAGGCATTGGTATCCTAGCAACGACTATAGCAGCTGCCGGCGAGGGTGGCCGCAGCTGCCTCTGAGGGAAGCACCCCCCGTTGGTGAATATAATTTTACACATGTCGTTTCCAACATTCAGCGTTGAATTTCGGATTATATTCAATATAGAGGGTTGGGGCATACAATAATTACTTCACGAAAAATCGTTATAAATAAGTTATTGTACTAGACATATTTACAAAAAATTTATAATTTTCTTTTCGTTTTAATAAAAAGATATATTAAACCATTTTTAAGTTTGACAAAAAATGTACAACTAATAGAAAAATTATAAAAGTTTTTAATTACTTGTTTTAGGCTTGTTTTTTATAAACAAAACAAATTTTATTCTATGTATACTTAAATATTATAGAGATACAAAAATGAATCATGGCAAATAAATATTTATCATTATAGTTATTTCGAGATAATATCATAAACGATCAATTAAATTGATAATTTTATATTGTGAATTTATTGAGTAATTGCAGGATCAATCTAATTAAAAAATTTCTAGACTTACAATCAGTTTTCGTAAATTCAATTTCATAGTTAAAATATTTTATTTCAACTATTAGAGTTTATTATTATACGATGAAAAATATGATCAACCACAATATAGCTTAAAATACTATTATGACTTGTAAGTAGGAAATATACATCATAATTTTTGTATACTTAGTGACATGTATTACAGTGGCGGAACTAAGGGGGGGGGAATCCGGGGATTGATCCCCGGGCGTAAT